ATCGAGAGGAAGCATTGACACACCAAAAGGACATTCCAAATTGGTTGACTTTGAACATTTAAACTGGTTGCCTTTGAAGAGTGATGGGTGCTCCATTCCTGGAGGCATTCAAAAAGAGACTGGACAACCATTTGTCTGAAATGGTCTAGGACAGTGTTTCTCAACCTTGACAATTTTAAGGCATGTGGACTTCAACCCCCAGAATTCCACAGCCAGCATTGCTGGCTGTGGAATTCTGGGAGTTGAAGTCCACATGCCTTAAAATTGTCAAGGTTGAGAAACACTGGTCTAGGGTCTCCTGCTTGAGTAGGGGGTTGGACTAGAAGACCTCCAAAGTCCCTTCCAACTCTGTCATTCTGTCATTTATTTTATTTAACAAGGCATTGAACAAGGCCTAGGAAATAAAGGACCTTGAAATTGTCTCTCAAATTATACTCACTGTTAAAAAAATTTTATGTATATTGGTTTCAAGCCATTCTGTTCTTTCCGGCTCTTAAATTGTATTTAATCAGCTTTTAACTCATTTGAGAGCATTTTTAAAAAATGGATTTGAGACTTTTGAATGATTTCAATTAATATGTCCTACCCCAATAAAACAAAAAGTCTGTGGTCCTGTGCATGTCTTGATGGTAAGAGATTAAATGTACCATGTTAGGTTTAATGCTTTGTAACCATTTTCTTTCTCATTATGCAGACTGCTTTTTTTAACCCTTTAATTGGGAGACAAATCTTATCCTGTCAACCAAATAAGAGCACGAACAGGGGTAGCGCAATGGTTAGAATGCAGTAATTGCAGTCAAACTCTGTCCACAGTCTGGAGTTTGATCCTGACGGGCTCAAAGTTGACTCAGCCTTCCATCTTTCTGAGGTCAGTAAAATGAGGACCCAGATTGTTGCAGGCAACATGCTGTGTAAACCACTTAGAGAGGGCTGTAAAGCACTGTGAAGCGGTATATAAGTGTTACTGCCATATTGCCTTCAACAATCTGGGTCCTCATTTTACTGACCTCGGAAGGATGGGAGGCTGAGTCAACTTTGAGCCCGTCAGGATCAAACTCTGGGCTGTGGACAGAGTTTGCCTGCAATTACTGCATTCTAACCAGTGGGCTACCCCTGTTCTGCCTTTAATTAAATCACTGGTTCACTCCATCACTGGAGGTTTTTTAAGAAAAGGCTACACAGTCACTTGTCTGAGATGGTGTAGGTTCTCCTGCTTGAGCAGGGGGGTGGACTAGAAGATCTCCAAGGTCCCTTCCAGATTCTATTCTATTCCATTCCATTCCATTCCATTCCATTCCATTCCATTCTATTCTATTCTATTCTATTCTAATCTAATCTAATCTATTCTATTCTACAATGTCTACTCTACTCTACTCTACTCTATTCTACAATGTCTATTCTACTCTACTCTACTCTACAATGTCTATTCTATTCTATTCTATTCTATACTCTACTCTACTCTGTTCTATTATGTCTATTCTATTCTACTCTACTCTACTCTACTCTACTCTACTCTACTCTACTCTACTCTACTCTACTCTACTCTATTCTATATTCTATTCCATTCCATTCCATTTAAAGATTCTATTCTATTCTATTCTATTCTATTCTATTCTATTCTATTCTATTCTATTCTATTCTATTCTATTCTATTCTATTCCACAAATGTAGGCTTGTGAGACCCAGCCTTCGAGATCCATCTGCCTTAGTTTCCATAATGTTCACTTCCAGCAGGAGGGCATGGTTTATTTCTATGCTCTTCGTCATGAGCCAGTCCAGCCTTCATGGTGCATAAGAGCAAGTGGGCATGTCTTCCTAATGGAGGCACGGCCCCCAAATCCTGGGACATTCATGTTGCTTCCTTGTCCTTCATGTTGCTTCCTCTGTTTTTACAGGAAACTATGCCACAGACACCGATCTTTTCCAGCATGCTCGGGACGGGATGTAGAGGACAGGTGCAACCAGACACAGGCGAGAGGAATGGCGATCCTGTTTATCAGGATGGGAACCTTATTTCTGGATCTCTGGAGGTCCTCATCCAGCATCTGGTGCCCACCATGGATTACTATCCAGATGTAAGTAGATGGTTTATTATGCCACTCATCTTTTGCTCTTGGTTTCCTAGATTTGTTGTACACAAATATACTTGTTCCAGTGGAACAACCTGCCTCCAGAAGTGGTGAATGCTCCAACACTGGAAGTTTTTAAGAAGAGACTGGACAGCCATCTGTCTGAAATGGTATAGGGTTTCCTGCCTGATCAGGGGGTTGGACTAGAAGATCTCCAAGGTCCCTTCCAACTCTGCTATGCTGTTATTCTGTTAATTAAATATTATTTGATTCTTTCATTCCTGTTGACACCCACAACTGATATGTCTTGTCACTCTAGTTCCACTACTCACATCCTGCACAACTGAAACACTGAATTCCTTTTTTCTTTCCTCCTGACCTGGCAACTAATGCATTCTCATCCAGGGCTGAGCAAGTGAAAATTCCACAAGAGTGCACTTCTGTAATAGATCAGGCAAACACCTGCCTTGGACATTCTGATGTTAATTTTGGGACTGCATCAGCACACAGTCCAGTGGGGGTGAAAAATCTGCTTCTTCACATTTTCATTATGCTTCTCTAGAGAGGAATTACAGTAATGTCCCAGGGAGGGAGGGAGAGAGAGGGGGGGAAGGAAGGAAGGAAGGAAGGAAGGAAGAAAGAAAGAAAGAAAGAAAGAAAGAAAGAAAGAAAGAAAAGAAAAAAGAAAGGGAAGGAAGGAAGAAAGGAAGGAAGAAGGAAGGAAGGAAGGAAGGAAGGAAGGAAGGAAGGAAGGAAGGAAGGAAGGAAGGAAGGAAGGAAGGAGAGGGAGATGACTATTATAGTTAAATTAGAAGTGCAAAAAAATAAAAGTTGCAAGAAATAAAGAGAAGGAAGGAAGGAAGGAAGGAAGAAAGAAAGAAAGAAAGAAAGAAAGAGAAGGAAGGAAGGAAGGAAGGAAGGAAGGAAGGAAGGAAGAAGAAGGAAGGAGAGGGA